GAGAAGAGCCCGACCCGCCCCTGACTGCACCCTCCCTGCAGGGAGTTGCAGAGAGTGATGAGGTCCCCCCTGAGTCTCCTCTTCTCCAGCTAAACCCCCCCAGCTCCCTCAGCCTCTCCTCACAGGACTGTCCCTCCAGGCCCTTCCCCAGCCTTGTCGCTCTCCTCTGGACCCACTCCAGCACCTCTAAATCCTTCCTGAAGCAAGGGCCATCACCCCATTCCTTGCTACCAGGCAGAAGCACCAAGCTCTGCGTGCAAGAACCTTCTGTGGAAACACACGTTTGTCCAAACAGGTGTATGCAGTCATGGGTGACGGCAGGAAAACACTACCAAGTTTTGCCCAGAAAAAGCAAACGCGCCACTGAATTGATCAATAGGTAAAGCTACTACCAGGTCTAAAAGTGCTGCTCAGAATATTCCGTATTTTACTGCAGGGACAACAAAATGTATTTATTAGCAGGCAAGCCTTTGCAACAGTCAATCACATTTGTGTAAGAGCAAAAAAAAGCCACCATTACAGTTAAAGTTATTAGTATTGCAACATAAAAAAAATTAGGCGGAAGATTTACCAGGGCAGATGAGATCACTGCTTTACATAGTCTATCTTCCTGCCTCCAGCAGTGACCAGGACTTCATTTCCAAAGCAATATCCTTGCTAAGGTGAAGTTAAGGTTGCAACCATATAGTATCTTCTTTCTTTTTTAATATTATAATCTTGAAAGTTTTAGAAAGCCATTAAATCACAATTATAAGGAAGATTCTCACAGCATGCAAAAATCTGGACTGCAATTGTAATTTTTTTTTTTCAAACTGCTCTAACAATAACTCCTCAAACTGATTTAGACTTTACAGCTTGCTTATATTTCATCTTGGCTCAAGAAAACGAGTTAAGTGCAAGAAGCTGATGAGGAGGGTATAATTGCCAACACTTGACATCACAATCACTGTACCAGCCCTCTTGCTTACCGCTTCGGCCCAGATTTTGCAAAGAACTCATCTTGGTAACTTCGAACCAAATATATTGTTGAAATGTGGCCTGATGAAAGGTCCGTTTATTGCAGATTGTGAGGTATTTGGATAAAACATTTGACTATGAGACTACCGTGCCCTATGGAGCGCAGTGCTGGACTCTGCTCTGATTTTAGGAAGCATCAGCCAGTCTTACACATCTCCTGCTTCACCAGCGGTGAACGGCTGGAGCCTGTTCTCCATTACCAGTGCCTGTCTCCAGCAGACATCTGTTTTCACGTTGGTTCCTTTCTGGTGTAAAACGCAACACTTTGGAAACCGGAAAAAAGCCTCTCTTCCTATAAAATGCTCTAATCCTGTAACAGAGGAGAAGGCAGCATAAACCCAGAGGCATAAAACGTTCAACCACATTCACAGATAATAGCATGGCTGTGCTCGCCGGCGGAACACAGCATGTCACAGCCTCTCCTACGAGCTAGCCACAGCGGAGGAGAGCTGCCTGCTCACAGCAAAGCCCCGGGCTAAGTGGTGGGAGGGTTTTGTTTTGGTGAGGAAGATCCTACGCTCACATCCTGATGACCCATGACATCAGCTCTTCCACGTGAAGACAACAGGGCTAGCAGTCGCTGCCAGCTTTCGGGAAGATGTAAAGCAACCCAAGTGTGAATTACTTGCAAAGAAAAAAAGAAAAAAGCAAAGACAGAATTTTGCACGTGCTAGAGCAGGGAATCTGGACACGCTCACAGTTTTCACACTCGTTCACTTCAGCTTCTAAACACAATTGCATGGCAAGGCCAGGAGCTGCTTAATTCACACCTTCTACCTGACATTTTTCCTGTTTGTGAGTTACAGTCTCACCACTTCTATCTCAATTTAAACAAAACAACATTCTTTTCCACCTTTTGAAAACACTTCTTGCATGTTTTTTTTCCTCCAAGCTGGGAATATTAATTTATTTCTTAAAATTCTCAGATAGCACCATTTTTCTCCAACAGCAGATGAATTACACTGGTGGAAATGAGCACCAGCCTAAAGTCTCAAAACCTCTTATGCTGAATTTCGATTTTCTCCCAAAACCATTTCTAGTCAGAGGGACCACCAACACACAGTGAATTTAACTTGAGTAGATGTTTGGTGTTTGTTAGTTGAAATTTTACATTTTGTTTTCACTGCAATGCTGTTTCTCAACTTTCAGCAGGTACAGCAAGGCACTTACCATGCTAAACAGCAAGAGACCAGACCTCAGTCCTAAGAGTCGTGCCTCTAGATTAGCATTACCACAGCAGTTTCCACCAAAGGTTGTCAGATTTTGTCTCTTACTTTTCTTACGGAGATTTCCAAATGACACCATCCCCGCACGGTCCCTCCGAAAAGGCACAGATGAGAAAGTCTGTGTTTCCTTCCCAGTTTGGGGACTCAAGAGGCAGCTGCCCTGTCTGTGATGTGAAATCATCCCCAAACCACAGGTTCTCATCCACAGCCACCTGTACGTACCTGACGGGAGTAAAACAGACGTGCAATTTTCTTCACAAGCTTTTTCCTGTTTCCCCGCTCTTGCTCTCTTACAACATGTCCTGGCACACAGGGGAAAGCTCCCAACACCGTCTCCATCTTTGCAAAGAGGGTACAGAAGGGACAATACCCACAAGCAGCTTTAAGGGCATCAGAATGGACAAGACAGCAGATTTCCAGTCCCAGATAGCGGCGCTGCCAAAATTCCCTCCCTGAAGCCTGCCAACAAGCACGAGCACTTCTGATCCCTGCAGAAACCACCTTCCTTAGCTCAACAGTGCTACTCTGCAACTCATAAGTACCACTAACTCCTCCCAACGGGTCTCGGAGCATTACCATGAAGGGCGGCAGCGCAGCATCTCCCTGCCATGCTTAAATGAGTCTGAACCATGGCATTTAAATTTTAAAAAAAATATATATAAAAAAGAGTATGTTCTCTTACTGCAACACATTCTTTTCAAGTCAAAGTCTGAGGGTCCAGAGGGCAGGGGGGTAGAGTGATGGCTAAAGTAGACTGCTGTTTCCCAAAAGCTGTGGCTCGCAGCCAAAATCAGGCAAGCATGGAGCAGATGGAGTCCTGGCAAGACCTCTACTGTCCCTGCATTAGCAGCATCTGCTCATTACCCAGAACCCTCGCCTGCTTTATCTAATGCTCCAGGAAAAGCATTTTGATTTGATTCATTTCAGTTCGGTAACGTGCAACACAATTAGTGGTAAAATCAAACTGGAGGACTGCCAGTGCTGACAATAGGAAACAAGGCAGAAGAAATATGAGGCCAGTGGGTTGGAATTCAAAAATCACAACTGTGGATCAAGTTGCCAAGTCCCGTTGCCCCAGGTGTACATACAGCGCCCCCACTGAGCTCTGGCACGGGCGGAAGGAACTTCATTTTCTCCCCACGCATTTCTCTCTCATTTACCTCTCCTTGCAGCTTGTTTCTCAGAGGCTGACGCCATCAGAAACATTCACCAGGAGCCACAATTCAATTTTTCCTTAGTGCCATCACGGAGTTACAATTTGCTTTGGATGCAGGCGTCCCGGTAAGACAAATCTTTCTCCGTGCTATAATTCGCACGCCTGGGGAAGCGTTCGCTACCAGCAAAGCAGCAGAAGAGCGCTGTAAGGCAGGCAGGACGCAAGCAGAATCTGCCTGTTAGCTCTTCCCTGTGATCGGATGCCAAGGACATCGCTGCGTGAGCTCTGCTGAACTGGGAGAAACTGATGTTATCGGAACGAGTCTGCTAGCCAGGGATTCGACAGAGAAGCCTAGACTCTTTGCCTGACAGCACCACCTCCAACACTAGCAGATGGTTTCTCTGTGTTACTCAAACTTACAAACAAAGAGAAAAGGGAGCTGGAAAAGTACAACAAAGGACAATCAAACGCATTATCTTCAAAGTCGTCCTCTCCCTCCCCGCGTTTACAATAATTCTCTCCACCAAACCGTCAACGTAAGCTTTCAGATTCCAGTTAGTAAACATTTCTAAAATCAGTCGCTATAATTCCCTATTCACATAGAAACTAATCTATTCCGACCAGGCTTCTCAAATCAGAGTAACTGCCCTATCAGAGAGCCCATGGAAATTTCTACCCAAAAGAATAAAAGGCGCCGAGCTTCATGCAAACTAGTCACAGCACACACAGGATTGATGACAAGGAATATGACAAAAACCAACCAACCAGTAGGTAAATTATCAGATTAGTCAGTGGGAGATTAGAAAACAAACAAAAGATCCTCTGCTAGACGTTTGGCACGCTGGACAAAAAAACGACACTTAAAACTACCGCTGTCTTCCAATTTCTTAGGACTCCAGTAAACAATTAATGAGTATTCTCTAATGCCAGACTTGCTGTTTTCAGAAAATGCTGTCTATCAACAATTTTTAGCCACAGAAAACCATTCTAGCACAATCTGCAGTAGAAAAACAACTAAGAATGTGGATTATCTTAAAACCAGTCATTTTCACACATGAAGCATTTAATTTACTTCTAAAATAAAATGCATGGATTAGAGATTTTATTTGGATTACCCATCTTTGGTTTTGTTTTCACAGGTAGAAATGCCAGGATCAAAGACAGCATGTGCACAAGGTTCTGTAATTTTAAAAAATACCCTTTATTGACAGCCAAGAAGAGGTTTTTATGTGTAAAATCATATATTTTATGATCATATATATCATATATATTTTAAATAAAATATCAATATATCACATATATTATCAATATATAATATATATATCAATATATCATATATATCATATATATTTTAAAGAAAGATGATAGGAATCTGAGCAACTCAGCCTAGGATCCCAGTTGGCTAAGACTGTCCAAATCTGACTTTTAAAACTGCTGTTCCCGTGTCCAGTACACGTCTAGTTGGTCTCTGGCTCTCTGCCCATTCTATAAAGATCTAAGTACATTTAAAACAATGCATAACCAGGATTTTATCAGGTTTCATTAGGTCACGAGTTTTGTTTCTTTATATTGCAGTACGTAATAACCCACCATTGCAAAGCAATAGTTCAGTTAAGAAACCGCGCATCCACGCACTCTGCCAAGAGCAAGAGAGGACGTGGGTTAATCAGACATGCAAGTTTACCAGTATTCCCATAACAAAGCTTCGCAGCACCCCAAGGGAGTTTTGGCCAGAGGAGAAGGCTGGTGGAAGAATATTTAATATTTTTATAGCAAAACAAGTTATTTGCTTAAGATAGTTTGGCTGGACTACAGCGTGGCACTCAAGCTCTGTGTAGCAGTTCCAGTAGGAATTAAACATCAGTTTTAATGGGTGCTGTGTTCCAATGCCTCCTAATGCATTTAGGGTTATTGGCCAACTTTCTCACATAAAAGCAAGTGTGTGCGCGTGGGGGTATATACAAGATTACAGACACACAAAAAGCTGAGCACAGCTGCTTCATTTTTGTAAAGCTTTTTTTTTTTTGCTTTTTTTTTTTAATAGGGAGCAGAGTTGTGGTTACTTACCGTCCTCATAAGCTGCTACAGCCAGAGAGCTGTTTATCCTCACAAAGGAGACATGTGGCTGAGGTCCAGCATCACCAGCACCGTGCACTGGTTCCAGGATGGGGGCTGTGTAGTCCCAGGTGCGAGTGTCCCACAACCTCACTTCTCCTGATGTATATCTGGAAAAGAAGGCTATTATTCATCCCAAAACATCTGAAATGAGATAGCTGGAGGAAAAGGGAGGAAGAAACAAAAAGTGTCTTAAAACTCAACACCACTTACAGCTCCTGATTTTCCTCCTGTGTATGTATTCCGTGTATAAACCCATCAACTTTGCTAATTTTATTCCCATTTACCAAATGTAGTATTGTCTAAGGAAGGCAAGTAAATTGGAGCTACAAGAATACCTGGACTGGGCTACAGCAGGTTACCAACTATTAGCTTTACAACTAGAATGCTAGGAGAGCTGAGCTCAAGGGAAAAAAAGGGAATCATTAATGAGTCTAAATTGCATCACAGCAAAACTTCAAACTGTTTCTTTTCAATCTTGAAAAATTTGTGATTGTGCCAAGGAAAGGCTGTTTAATCAGAGAACTCACGCACGTGCATACAAGCACTCACACGCATACACCCATCCGACCTACGGCTCCTTATAGAAAGAGAGAAATATAGAAAGAAAATTCTTAATGCTTCATCAATGGGTCAGATCTGCCTACATCTCTGAAGACTTAAAAACCACCACAGGCAAAATAGAGGAGAAGCTCGCGCCACAACTGGTCAAACAGCACAGTTCCGTAGCTACTTGGAACTGCTTAGGAAATAGTTAAGGTAAGTTTTGACAAAATTATGGCAATAGTGTCAAACAGTCTCAGATGTGTTTGCCATAGCTGAGACTTGGATTCTGTTGGAAAATGACAGGTGCTTTGTCAGCTTACATCCTGGCTTCTCAGGGAAAAGTATTTCAAAAGCATGGTTCTTACGAGTCTCAGAGGTCTACTGGTTAGAAATCTAGCTGTCCAATGTTTATGAGAAAAATAATAAACAGTTATTTAGAATGGAGGTGAAGGAAAGGGCTTAATACTTGTTTAGAAGATGCCAGACTTCGACTCAAGTTATTGAGTTCTTTGGGGAGTACCGGGCAATGGGGTTACAGGTACTCTAGAGCAACTTCTCTGGGTGAAGATGCTTCACTTTATAGCACTAATTAAAGTGCCTGAGGGGGTGGTGAAGTCTGTCAAGCAGAAAGAGATACACATTAATTCTCTGCACTGAATCGGGAAGAGGGGAGAACTGTGTCCTTGTCACCTGCCTTCGTCTTCAGTGCTTTACATGGGAAGACTGAAGAAAATCAGACAACAGGGTGGGAAAGCACTTCTCCCTCTTCCTCCTTCTGTAAATGAGGCTCAAACCCTCCTACAAAACCTGCTTTCACTTCCAATTTACAGCAGCACAATTTGAAAAGAATAACTCAAGAAAGAAGCTTCCCCAAAGCAAATAAAAATGTTGCATGTCAGACGGAACAAGCAGTCCAGATTAGTCCACAAGAAATACCTTGAGTCTGCAGAACTGAAAAGGGCTCATTTCAGATAGATTTAAAAACTAAGAGATAAAACACAATGGGACAGGTAAGAGTGAAGATCTGAAGCACTCCTCTTAAACAACGCACAAAGAGAGTACATTGGAAGCTTTTTAAGATTGACTGGCTTTTTGTTTCCTTATGGTTGGGTTGGCTGGGGACAGGGTTTAAGGCTTCTTGCAACTGTCACTGAAGAACCAAAGAGGGAGGAAAACCATTTTCACAGTAACTTTCTTAATTTATTGGTTGCTTCTTCTAACGGTTTTACTGAGAAATCTTGAGAAGGACCAACGAAGCAGCAAGAAGGGGCCTTAGTGCTGCCAGGCAGCCCTTCCTCTGACAGCCTGGCAGTCTTCTGCTTCTGCAGGGCAACGGCTGCCTCTCTGACCTTTCCTTCTGATCAGTCGTTGCTCTTCGTGCGCTGCCACCCAGGGTCCATCTTCCCCTCCTCGTGAGCTGCCACCGAGGGTCCGTCTTCCCCTCCTC